TTCTCAGCTATTAGTTAAAATTTCAGCCCACTTCTCAGCTATCAGGAAATTTGTAGATCTGAGTTAAAAAAACGCGTCACTTCTAAGTTGACAGTTTAAATTTTGACCAATTCTCAGCTTACAAATACGCCCCATCAAGAACCTCTGCTAATAATTCTTCAGCTGCTGCAATTTTTCGTGTTATATTATTACCGTTAGAGGTCATCCTCATTCAGTAGATCTGTTATAAACACTCGCCTAAACAGTCAAAGACCGTTTTTACAATAAAACATTGAAGGAAACAGATAGCACGTGACTCCAGATTCTGTTGCATGAGGCAACTAAGGTATGGATACTCCTCCTTTCCTCCGGGCAAGGTGTGGACAAGGTTGTAGTCTACCGCAGGTTATACTAAGGCATTTTATTATTTTGTTGGAATAACAGTTCCCCGGTGCAAATCATACACCTCGGTGGAGAAAGGCACTGGGAAAGTAAAGCATTCTGCCCCAAAACAAAACACAATTTAACCCCGGCCAGGCGCCCGTTTCTCGAAAGCTCCCGTAAATACCGGGCCCGAGAACTTACCGGGCCGGTTAACGGGAAACTGTACCGGGCCCGAAATAGCGTTTCTCGAAGCATCCGTGAATTTTCCCGGTACTCACCGGGCCCGATAAAATAGCGGGTTGTTACCAATCTCTAGCGCGCGCTTCACGCTCGTTCGCGAGAGAAGGAGAAACACCTGGGACTATACGTACACATTCGATGCTGATCAATTTTGTTGTCATTGCGTCTGTGATGCTTTTTGAAGAACACTGCGAAGTTTAACTTCGAAGTTATCGTTGTGTTAAAGGAGAGCAACTGAGAGAGATCGTTATTTTGCATGGTCATATTATTTGAAAGTGATGATCAATTGCCTTATGTAGCTCGATTCGAAGACTTCGTTCGACAATCTCGCTCTTTTCTAGGAGTGTTGTCTGTTTCCGTGATTCATTCTAATTCAAAACGTGCACTGAGCAATCAAACAAGATCTGCGGACCGCCGAGGAAACAGTGTGAACTTGA